GAGCGGGCAGGTGCCGTGGCCGAGCGGGCAGGTGCCGCGACCCGCTGGCTCCTGAGGAGGGAACGGGGAAGGGATGTGGGAGTGGGTGAAGCAAAGCAGAGGGGTAGCAGGATCCCGATAATAAGATCTCACCAATCCTTGGCTAGATGTCCCGGCGGTCCTGCGGATCTGGAGACGGTCGCTGCGGGGGGGTCTGGAGACGGTCGCTGAGGGGTTTTGGAGACGGTCGCTGCGGATATCTGGAGACGGTCGCTGCAGAGCTCTGGCAGCTTCGGCCCGATCCGAAGATCTGGTGGCTGGACGGTCTGACCCGGCCACTTTTTATAGCCATGGCAGCTTGTTGTTTGGGTTTGACAACTCCTCTGTTTACTTCTTCAGTGGCTTTTCTTCCTGCAGGTGCTGCATCCCTCCTCTGTCCTCCCAAGGACACCTTCCTTGCCTTTCCTTATCCTTTTTGGTGCTGATTAGGGAAGTTGAAAAAACACAGGAGCAGCTGCTCTGCCTCTTATCTATGTTGGGGGTGCCAGGATTAGCCACTCATTAGCTCATGCTAACTGCTGCTTGCACCAACTGCCCTGAAGAGGGCAAGCTGGAGTCTGTCCCCTCAGCATCCATGCTCCCAAATTCCCGCAACGGCCTCTTCACTTGCTGCAAACCCCGTTAACACCCAAGTTTTTGGGGACATCTCACATGGGACTCACAGCTGACACCTCTTACACATACAGTCCCACCAAACCCCTATGTCCAAGCACAGGTCTGCTTGCTGGACGGAGGTGAGATGGCAAGAAAAATTCATACAATTTGTAGTTCAGGTCCATTTTGGAATCTGGACTTCAAAAAGCAGCATTTTTCCATGCCACAAACCAGCCCATTACATGCCTATATGTACTTTAGGTGTACCCCACGACATGTCAGGAGCCTTGACTGTGGTATTGCATCACCTGAATTACAGCTGTAAATCTGCACCTGCAAAGACAGATGGACCCCCTCCAACCTCACCCTACAAACCACATCTGAGCTCAGAGCAGTTTAGAAAAAAATACTCAACCTGCTTTACTTTTTTTCCCTGCTATTATGCTAAAAAGAAGGTAGTGCTCATCTTGCTCAGTGAAAATGCTATCATTTTCATTGCTGCTTTTTCCCCTGATGAAATACTACAGAAGCTACACCCTTCCCTGAAATAAAATAATTTTTAAAAAGCAAAAAAGATGTTCACCCGCAGCTGCCTGAGCCCTGGAGAGTTTCTGCCCAGCAGCCTGCTATCCCCAACAGCCGCTTATTTCCAGGTACTGCAGTATTGGCCCTGTCAGACCAGGCTGAACAGCCTTCCCTAATCCCAAAAGTCAGCCTCAGAAGCACAGAGGGAATGAATTTTTCCTTATTTTTATGGCAACTTTTCCTCCAGCCTGTCATTTACAGCCCAACTGTAATTACCTCTGCTGCAACATGGGAGTTTCACAGTGGTGAAACCCCAGCCAGGTCCTGCTTCTTGTCTGTAGACCCCGTTCTTCTACCCCAATGATTTGCTCCAACCCCCCAAAAGCAAACACTTTGCTGTAAGAAACCCATCACAGGGAGGAAAGAAAGAGTCAGAAATGTAACAAAGCTGCTGAAACCACGGGGAATTAGTGTCGGTGTGGTGAGTTGCACGGGATGTGGGCTGAGAAAAAGAAGAGAGGTGAGAAGGAATGGGTGAAGAGAAGACCCAGAGGGTGAGCACTGAGATGGGGCAGGGAGTTGGCTGGGCTGGGGACTGGTATAATTGTCTTTCATTTCAGAAAAAGAATAAAATCCCCTTAGAAATTTTGCAGCCAAATAATTCAAATACATGAAAATTCAGCGATCCCCCCCAGCTTAGCCCAGCCGTGAGACAAACACCCATGACCAAGAGCTGCTGTTCCCCAGCAAGGTCACAGCAAATCTTGTTTGCGTTAACAGATCAGTTCAACTTACACTCTTCTTTCCTCCCCTGTTTTCTTCCCAGGACAGCAGCCCCAAACAATGTGGGGATGTTTTAAACAGCAGGTGCTGTCCTGCACGTCCCCACAGTGTTTTTATTTCGGTTGGCGATAGGCTGCCAGACAAAGGCATCCCGCCTCCGAAATGTTTTCTCGCAGGAGTAACACCCAGTCCTGAGAACTGCTTGGCTGCTGGCAAACAGATAACTGTGTATAAACAGCAGCTTCAAAAGAAATTAGAAATTAAACCCTGTTCCAACACACACTATATGCTTTTACATTGCAAATACTCAATTTTATTTCCATAGGAGACACCCTATAGGCAAAAGCGCTGTAGGGAAGCATCTCTAAAGCTGCTTTAATGGCCTGGAGAGTCCTCCCAAGCCAAAATATCTGCTTAGACAACCCAATATATCACCTTAGACAACCTACCAGCCTTGCTGCATCCCTGTGTAACATGCCCTTTGTCCAGGGTTGTAATGGTGACAAAAGCCACCTCTGGGAGCACTTTGGTCTTGGTCAGGAGGCCAAAAGATGCTCCAGGTGACAGCAGCAGTGAGAAAAGGGGGATCCGGCCGTTGCAGCAGCCAGGAACATCAGGCTTAGTTCAGAGACTTCACCACAGGGATAAAAGGAGAATGGCATTTTTCATATTAAGAAATCCCCCCAAAAGAGGTGCCTGCACCCAGTTCTGGAGAGGTCCCAGTTCCGGAGTGAGGGGAAAGGAAAACAGGAGGTAAGGAGGAGAGAAGCAAGGGTTGCTGCACCCTGTGCCAGGGGCTCGGCTCCAAAAATGAGCCCTTAAAAGCCCTGAAATGCATTTGAAAGCACCGAAATTACTTTCTCCTGCCAGGAAAGAGTTAAGGAGTGATTCAACCGACCCTAAATTTTAGCAGCTGAGCCCTTGGTGGCAATGCTTGTGGTGGTTAGCAACCCGCTTTGAGCAGGAAATTATTTTAAACAGAAATGGGGAGGGGATGGAAAAATCTGGTGCAAAATGAGCCAAAAAATTGCACTGCATGAGATGCAAAATTATTTTTCCTATTTGTCCGTCAACTCAGACCCTGGGGGAGGTTTCTTGGTGCCCCCAGCATGAGACCCCCCCACCCCAGGAAACCACCCCCTCACCAGGAGCCAGCCCCGGGGAGCTGCTGAGGTTTTGCAAGGACCACGGGTATCTGCACAAGTAGGACATAAAAGAAACCCAAACCCCTGCTTGGCAGCCAAGGGGGCAATGAATAAATAAAATTGATAATTAATTTGTATTTTATTCCCCAGACATGGGAATATTGAAGGCTGCTGTAATTTCACCCCTGTAATTTCACATCATGTGAAAATCCAATTCCTGAACCCCAAGAGCTTCAAATGTCTTCCTCCTGAAGACATTTCAAAGCCACTCTGATATTTTATCTATCATTCAAATATTTCTGCGTATGAGCTGTGCAGTGTCACAGCTACCAAAGTAGCAAGGTGGAGAGCCCCAGCAGAATCTCCTTATTTTTGCGGTTTTTCAGCCACTAAATTTCTTTGAGGTTTCTTGCTCTTGGCTTCAAAGTCTTCTGTGATGCCTCACACCTCTGCTTTATGGTGAGCTACTTGGGTGTTCAGCATTTTCCAGGTCTGGACAAAAACACCTCCTGTTAAAGATTCTGCTGAAAAAAAACAACCCCACAGCTAAAATTGCATCTTCTCCTGATTTTGAATGCATTTTTATTTCAATAGAGGAGAAACCAGCCAAAATTCATCCTTTCCTGCTTTTATTTTTAATGCCAAGCTCCTACATTTGCCATTCTTTAATTGCATAGAGCTAGGTTAAAAGAAGGAGGAAAAGCTACGTGATGAAATAAGAAGAAATATCAGGTTTTGGTTTTTTCCTTCCTAAAGGGGATTTTGAGGGCTCAGCACAGAAGTCGCTGGGCTGAGACTCCAGGCACAGCCACCGCAGATGCATTTTGGCAGCTGTTGGGGTGACATCTGCGCTGAGACGGGGAAGGACTTCCTGGGGTGAAGCCAGCTCTACCACCAAGAGGTGACCACACGTGGAAAGGGGAAGCTGGAACAAAACCCCTCCATCGTTGACTCCACCACCATGGCCTGGCTGTGGCTCCTTCTCTGCATCTGCTTCCAGATCCCAGGTAGGAGGGACACGTCTCGTAAGGGTTGAGAGCACCTAAAATCATGCTGGAGCCTCTTCCCAACCCCGCTTCAGCACATGGGATGCATTGTACAGCATCTAGAGGATGGAAGTTTAAATGTATGGGCATAGTATAGATCTACAGCATATTATTACCTATCACCGCATCATTTTGGACATTGTCATTAATAACACTCTTTAGCTTTCAGTCAGCCCTGAAGGGGTCAGGCAGTTGGACTAGATGATCATTGTAGGTCCCTTCCAGCTGAGATCGTCTGCTCTGGTCTGGTCTCTTCTGCTCTGTTCTGGTCTGTCCTATTCAGTTTATAGTCCAATATAGAATGGTACAGACACCTCAGAGTTTGTTTTACTGCACCCTCCTAGTGCAGACAGACTGTGAGAAGCTGCTGCTGAAGAAGTTCAAATAGCATCGATCTCCACTACCTGTGTAACGCAAAGACGATGAATATCGCATCAATTTTACTTCTCAGTCTATGCCAGGACTGAATGTTTCCCAAGGGCCACAGCTGGGATCCATGTGTTATAAAACCATGCCGTCTTCTGCTCATTGCAGATAGGTCTCAGAGGGTCTGGACCGAATATATACAGTCGATGTCAGAGCAAAGTGGTAGAATTACACTTTACAGAACAAATTGTGCCATCAGTTCTTAGGCGGAAAGTGTTAAGAGCTTGAAACACCCATTAAATGTATGTATTAGAGTGGCAGCTCAAGTTTGTCCCTGAGATGTTGCCCATCTCATGTCCACAGCTGCTCAGCATCCTCGCTGGAGGCTGGCAGGACTGCAGGGTGTTTTGTTCTCATCGTGTGGTGGTCATCCGACCACAGCATAACACAGCCAATCTGGCAGCAAACAGCCCGAGGTGCTTTATCAATGCTATATACAGGTAGTAATATCCTATAAAGCTATATGGTGGTGATCCCACTGAGAAAACCCGAATAAATTAGAGTTTGCTTTGCACGTGCAAAGGGAACAGGGACTGTTTTTGAGGTGATGCAGGCTGGTCTGGCCATGCACACAGAAACAAACCTGTCCCACCTCAACTCCCTGTGGTTCCCTGTGAAAATTTACACCAGGAAAGGTAACAGGGAAGATTTGGGGGATGAAGGTGCAGCAGCAGATGAGCTTTTCTGCTCTGGCTCCCTCCAAGCTCACCCTGCTGGAGCTGCACTTCTGGCTTAGAGCAGAGATGAGTGTTTTCCAGGACCCCTTCTCATCCCCCCTGATTCACCTATTATCTTCTACTGCTTGAGCAAAAGATTTTCATGGGGGGTTAAATTTCTTATGCCCAGCAGAGCCAGATCTCAGGGCAGCCAAGGGGAGCCTGAAGCCACCATGCCCCATGGCCACACATATTTTATTCCCTAAAAAAACACACAGGTGTTTGCCAGAGCAAAGTTTGTGAAGATTGCAATCCAAAACCTGAAAATGATGTATTTTAGTATTTGGTTTTTTATTTAGGATGTGGTTAAATGCTGCGACTGCTGTGCAATGTCTGAATTTTGGCATTGCAATACTAGGGCTGAAGCCTGCTCATTTCTGCAATGTGTCACCAGTGATGGGGTAATCATCGCAGGGCAGAGGAGAGCTCTGGACCTGTGTCAGTCAGCAGAGACCTTTCCTCTGCTTGCCCCATTGGGGACATGGGGGACACTGGGGCCACAGGCCATGGGGCTGGCTTCAGGTGTTCTTGTGGTCATATAAACCCATGCCCATGTCACTGGGTTTGCAGGGCTGCACTAGGCTACTATTGTAATAGCTACTATTGTAAGCAGATTTTGAAGGAAAAGGGACCTTTTAAGGTAAAAAAGGCAAAAAAATATGGTTTTTTGAGCTTTCTGCACAGCTTTAAAGCACACCTGGGAAAGAGATGGGGGAAGCAAGAGCATCCTTATCTTCAGAGGGCTGTTTTTCACTTGGTCTCAGGGTATCTGCAGCTTTGAAGAACTGTTTGCAGAACAGAAAGGATCACAAGGCTCTTGTTATCCTTTCCACAAGGACACATCTTCGCTCGCACACAGACACTGCTCAGATCTGCCCAGGCCAAAAACAACTCTGATAATTTCCACAAAAGCTGCAAAGCCCAAACACGGCGATGAAAAGTCAAGCCGAAGTTTTTGATCCCACCGCTGCTCCTCAATCCCTCTCATTCCTTAAATCTCGAAATTAATTAAAAAATAATGTTCTCTGAAAACTAACATCAAATTGGCTCATTTTGAGATGTTTTGTGCTTTTTTTTGGTGTTTTTCTGCATCTGAGATGTGATCTGAAGTTTATTTGTGTGACTTCCGTTAGAAGAAAAATCTAGCAAATAAGTGTCCAAAAAAATCTGTTGAAAGAGAAGCCTCTCCAAAAAATGAGAGAGAAAAGGAGGGCAGGATAGGGGCAGCCAGAGGAGCAGGTGAGGATGCCCTTCCCTGTGTGTACAGACCCGAGGATATCCTCAAAGTCACCTCTCCCTGCCACTGAGCCTCTTCCTTAGTTAAGTGTTTATGGGACAAAAATCTACCTGTGTAACTAGGCTTGACCAAAACATAGCTGGGAAACCCCAAAAAGTCTCTGAGGAAATATAAGCTGAGATGCCTGATAAAAGTGCTCCTCTTTCTTGCTCCTGTGATCCCCTGGTCTGTGACTACTTGATCTTATCAAGCCCACAGAGAGAATCTGTACTTAGCATGTAAGAAAAGTTATGAAAAGAAGATAACGACTATATATTTCTGTCTTTTTTTCTTAGGTTTCTATACAAATCTACTTTTATCCCAGACTCCAGGGCATATCTTAGCCCAAACTAACAATAAAACAGAAATCTCCTGTGACCTGAAGAAGGAGCACACCGGGGTGTACTGGTACCGCTGGCGCCAGGAGATGCAAAATTTTGAGTTCTTGCTGTTTTTCCATCCGCTGGGCAAAGCCACGTACGGTGAAAACATCAGCCACGACAAGTTTAGTGTCCACAGGGCGAGTTCCCACACCTCCTACAGACTGCACATCAGCCATCTCCATGCCTCAGACAACGGCATCTATTACTGCTCCATCTCCCAGTCCTACCAACTCCTCCTGGGCAGCAGGACACAGCTCAGTGTGGGTAAGCATCACTCTTTGGGCTCCAAAATGTGCCACCAGCAGGCTGTGGTGAGGTCCTCTAGGTAAGGGGTGATGCATGTCGGTAAATCCCAATTTTGAGAAGCAAGATTGGGGCTCTGGGGTTTTTTGTGAAGAGACTGATGAGATCAGATAAGTCAGAAAATACAGAAAATAGCTGTATTTTAGGTCAGCCGCATGTGACAGTCCTTTTGCCACCGGAAGTTGCTTTGCTGTGGTCATGCCATGAGTGCTGTGTTGGTCCTAGTGTTTTAGGATTTCTACGAGAAGGTGCTCAGCCTCCATATCAGCACACCTTATGTTTTTTCATCCCCTACGGTACTTTGGATGAGAGGCTGGATACGTGCGCTGCTCAGCTCCTGGGTCCTCCTGCGCCCTGGCTCTTCCTGGAAAAGAGGAAGCCGAGGGGAGTTCTTATCACCCTCTACAACTACCTGAAAGGAGGGTGTAGTGAGGTGGGGGTCAGTCTCTTATCCCAAGTAACAAGCAATAGGATGAGAGAAAACAGCCTCAAGTTGCACCAGGGGAAGGTTTAGATTGAATAGTAGGAAAAATTTATTCACTGAAAGGGTTATAATGCATTGGAACAGGCTGCCCAGGGAAATGGTCGAGTTACCATCCCTGAAAGTATTTAAAAGACAGAGAGATGTGGTACTTAGAGAGATGGTTTAGTAGTGGACAGGTCATAGCCAACTATCTTAAAGGTCTTTTCCAACTATGATTCTATGATTCTATGATTCCTTACACTTCAAATTACAAACGTCAAGGCCAGAGGATGTTCCCCTCGGCTTCATTGGGATGGGTCTGACTGCAGGTTTCAAGCCTGTCCTTCACATAAAGGATTGAATTAGGATTTATTCCTCAAAGCTCACAACCCAACATTGCTGGGGAGCTGCAACAAGAAACCAGAGCTGTCTGCGGGTGGCATTGGAGAATGATGCTTTACAGACCCCGGGTCGTACAACAGTTCTTTTCTGCACATTTCCCCCTCGATCACCGAGCAGGAGGTGGTGTAGAAAAATTAATGTGCTTGAAGTAGGATTCAGCCCTTTCTTTGCAGGGATTTAGGGAGACAAATAACTTATTTAACTAAGATGCAGCTATGGCTGCTGGGTCTAAATCATCCCCAGTGTCCCAACCTTTTTGGGTTTTCTGCAAATTTACCCTGCAGCTTAAACTGGCTGAGAAATCCCTTTTGGATTCTTGCTGGCTTGAAGAAAAGCTGGTTTAAGATAAAGGGGAACTGGTTTTTATCAACTAGGCACGTATCTATGTGCAAAACAAAGCATGAAAAACAGGACTGAAACTCAGCATGATCAAGGACACTCCAATTAAAAACTAAACAGCAGGTGTTTGGGGAGGACTCAGGCCTTGCTGGATATTTTCTTTTTTTCCTTTAGAAAACATGATTAAAAAATATTGTTAAGTTCCTTTTCCTTGAGGCGATTATAATGTACAGGAGAAGTTGTCCAGATAAGCCCCAGGCACCTGATGTCTCATCTTCCCATGAAAAGAATGGTGGTTTCTGTAGGAATTTCAGTCCTGGATAGAAGCAGAAAAAGTGGGTTTGAATCACTCAAAATTTTGAATAAGTGGAGCTGGAGTGGTCAGATGTACAGCTATTTAATGGCATTACTGGGATATTTTCCTGACCAACTTTATGGAGAGATGAATGTGCTCCGCTGTAATTCAGATGCATTATAAGAAATAATTTTATCAACCAAAAAAAGTACCTAATTTTCAGCAAAGTTTAGAGCAATATGAATATGGAAAAGATCCAGTGATCCTTTAAAACCTCCCAGTGCTACTGAAATCTCTTGCTACCTGTGATTTCAAGTAGCACTGATGAGATGGTTCCTGGTAATAAATGTAGCTCCAGGAAGTTTCTTTTTTCTCTTCTTCAACTTTCTGCCCTTGCTTGCCTGGTTTTATTAATGATTTTACAAACTTTTGTGGACACTGAGAGGTTCAGGTCAGCCTCCCAGCCCCTCTGGGTGACCCAGCCCTTTGAGGGGGTGCCTGTATGAAGCTAGCTTTAAAGCCAACATTTCCAGTCATTCTTGCCTACCATTTGAGCCCTCTGTTGCACTCAGTGCCACATTGACCATCCTCTTCTCCTCCTTATCCACCAGTTGATGTTTTGCCTTTGCCTCTGAAGACCACTCAGGCACCGCTCCCCAAAAAGCCTGTGCGGTGCATAACCAGAAGCAAAGCTGCCAGCAAGAAAGGTACAGCACCGGTTTGGCTTGCGAAAGGGTTTTGCTGAGCTCCTGGGGGTCTCCAAGGTTCAGCTGGAGTTTGTCCTGGGGTTGGGGCCACCACAATGTGACCATACAGGGGTCCTCTGCCACTCCTCTGCCTTTAGGAGTGGTCCTCTGGGATATACGAGCGTTTAGGGGCCAGAATGTGTTTCCATTTAGCTCTGTCTAAGCTCTGGTGTTCCTTGGGTGCTCAGCCACTGCGGGTGCAGTGCCTGTCCTACAGGCATGGTCAATTCCCATGCCAGGGAGGACAGCATAAAAAAGGTTATTGAGACTCAGAGCTAAATTCCCAGCAATGCTTTTGGGGTGTAATGCAACCTCAAAGGGATACTCCAGAGTGATGGTCATGTCCTTCACCTCTCCTGTGGACTTGCCTTGCTTTTCTCCCTTTCCTACTCCAGCCTTCATCCCCCACAGCTGCCAGGGCAGGGTGATGCTGAGTGCTGAGCTGGGGGGGGGCAGTTCCACACCATGTCCCCTTCTGCTTTCCAGGTGCCTGCAGTCCCTTGCTCTGGGTCCCCCTGGCCGCCAGCATCCTGATTCTCCTGCTGAGCCTGGTCCCCACTGCCTACCGCTTCCACCGTAAGCATCTCACCATCCCTGGGGGACAATGAGGGGTGTTAGGCACCGGGAGAGCCGGGGGGTGGGATGGGGAGCTGGGAGGAAGTTCTGGGGCTGATGGACACCGTCTCTCCCCAGGTCTGCGGCGGAGGCTGTGGCTTCGTGTCCACAGGCAGTAAATCCCACCGACTCCCCCCACCACAGACAGGCAGGGAGAAGCCACGGACCCTCCCCTGCATGGAGCTGAGCCCTGCCTGGATGCTACCCAGGAAGGATGTTACAGGAGCAGGCATGGGTTTGCACTGCAAGACAGACATTTCTTCCTTGCAATGGACCATGAGTTTAACATTTTTATTTGACACAGCTGGTAACTGGACTGGGACAGCAGCATGCTAAGCATTTTTAAGAGTGCACTGATTCAGGTGAATGCTGCAGCTGGCTCTGCACCAGGGGCAGCATGGTTGGTGTACCAAGGGGATTCAAATGGCTGGAAAGATGATCTGAGAGCTTCCTGGCTCACCTCTCTGCCCATGGGATGTCCCAAAGGTGCTTTTCATTTGCTGCTGCTAATGCTGGTTTGTAAGACTTTGCCAACATGCATTCTGAGGGCAACCAGCAGAAAGCAGGGGCAGGTCACTCCACAGCCTGTCAAGGCCCTGTACAGGCCTGTTCATTAGAAATAATACTGAATATATACTCAACTATTTTGCTCTGCAGGCTGATGTCTTGTGGCTGCGCTCAGTGTGAGCCATGGCTGCGTGGTGAGCAAGGAGCCTCTGCCCGAGCAAGAGTTAAAACAGAAGAACATCTGCAGGGGAAGCAGGTCTGGGAGAGCATCATCTCCCACAGGAGACTGCAAACAGGCAGGAGTGGAAAGGAAAGCCAGACAAAACGATGGACCCAAGGCCAAACACGTGGCACAGATCAAAGGCAAACACCGCCTCTGAGAACAAACAGAGGCACCCGGGTCCTGGCCTTGGGCTCACCGGCACGGCTGAGCCGGCAATGATTGCCCTGAGCAGCACCCATGGGTGCCGAGACCTGAGCAATGCCAGACTATGCTGAGCCTCGGGCATGCTGAGCCCCAGGTGTGGTGAGCCCCAAGTGAGCTGAACCCTGAGTGATGCCCGTGTTTGCTAAGCCCCAAGCAATGTCAGAAGCAGGGCAGGTCTCCCCAGGGATGTTAACACGGTTCAATCACTACCCAGGACTGCAAGGCTGATGTGGGGCTGGAAATTCAGCGTCTTGCTGAGCACAGATAGTGGGTGCTTACTCTCAGGTGGATCCCCAGCCCTACATCTCCCCATGCCATAGGTGGGAAGGCCAGCAGCCCTTTTTATTGCTGGAGAAGCAGTAGGGATCTCTTGTTCTGCACACTGTGTGTGTCCTTACAGCTGCCCGCAAGCCAAGGGCTGATGTGGCTCCAGAGTCCTCAGGGCCAGCATGAAAGAAGCATGTGTTTCCCTCTCTCCCCTCCCAGCCACAGGGAGCCGCTGCTCTCCACTTTAATATAGATTTTTCCAAAGGACTTGGTCTCAAACCTGGCTATAGGTGCTCCTTGAGATGGATATTTCCCCTAAATGAGACAGTAATAAAGCAGGCAGTGGACCATGCTGAGCCAGCTTTCCTAAGCTGTGATGCTCACCCAGGCTCTCAGGCCACTCAGCTGATGGCTGCAGGGGACACAAATCTCAGACCCCATCCCACCAGGGATGCTGCAGGGAGGCGTCCCCAAATACATCCTGCCAGCAGCATGTTTTAGCCTCTGTGGAAGCTCAGATGAATTCAACCCACTGTTTTTCTACCCTGCAAGCACTCAGTGCACAGAGAACAGGACCAGGATTATTTTTACAATATATATTATTTACAGGACAGCTACGAGGAACCCCTTTTGAAACTTTCCATAGGCAAAGGTTTATTCTGTCAAAAGCAGTGGTTTTCCCTCTGCCTGCAGCTACTCTTGAAATCCCAGCTCCCTTTCCCATGATGAGGTATCCTGACCTTAAGGTCCATCCCTGCTTTGCCTCTCCCACCTCTCACCCAGAGAAGGAGATGGCCTCCCATGGCCAAGCAGCTGGGTCTGGGCAGCGAAAGGCAGGCTGTGACATCCCAATCCTCCTGTTCCATGGGAAAGTGAGCAGCCATGGGGCTAAACCTGCCTGGTCTGCTCCTTATCCCTCCATCCCCACTCTCACACAATCCCCATGGTGTCTGACCCTCGCTGAAACCCACCTGGATAGCACCATCTTGCCTTGATAGACTTCAGCCACTGGATTATCCCAAATCCAACAGCACCCATTCAAAGGATGGAGATTTACCCCTTGGCTCTCTGTCAACCAGTTAATAAATGTAACAGGTAGCAAAGATTTTGCTCAGTGTCTGATTCTCCAATTTGGCTTTGCTGTTCCTTTGTAATTTGAAAAAAATCAATAAAAAAGAAACAACCTCTACATCACCTGTGTGCAATGAGAACAGCAGAGGACAGCAACAGTCAAGGGTGTTACATGTCCTGTTGAAACACAGGTTTGGGCAGTTTAGTAATGGAAATGATGGAAACATCAGTAATTCTTATAATCATCAGTGGGGTATTTCGAGACAGTAAACCTTGGAGAGATTTTAGCAGCAGATTTCACAAATGCAAGAGGTTGTGGAAAAGTCACCTCCCGTTTCATAGACATTTTTTCCCAGAGCATATATAAGAAAGAAACAGAAGCGCTAATAGAAAGATGCTTTTATGTCTAAGAAAATTACCCCAGTCCCATGATATCTGTAACTTCTTTGGTTTTCTTTCCTACCTCACCATTGTGCTGAGACCATGATGACAATACCAGGATACCGTGCTGTGGGACGTGGGCGAAAGGGGATGCTTCCATCATGAAAACTAATGGGAAAACATTTCTGTGCGTCCCTGCTAATGGCACAATGCTCAGATTTGTGGAGGGAGAGATATGTGTAAAGGCATTGCCTGACACAGTATCACCCCTACCACGATGTCCTGGCAAATAAAAGCCCCCAATTTATTCTTTGTTTCCTTCTGAGGATGGACCAAGCTTTTCCTGTGTCCCACTGTCACCCTCCTCCCTGCAGTAGGGAACATCCATACCTAAAAGGGAAAATAATGGTATTTTACATATAACCCTAATCTCTCACACCAGCAGTTAATAAATGATGTTACTTTAAACTGCAAAAAAAAATTAACAAAGAAAAAGACCTTTGAATAGGACAAGGAGGGGTTTGCAGATCTATGGGTTTAAGTACAATGCATGCCCTATGCTGTGCCCACCCCTGCAAATCATCAGGCAAGGAACCATAAAAGAGGTCAAAGAATACATGTGGCAATAATTCATTTTTATTTTATTTTATATTATCTCATATTTTTATATTTCTATTGTATATGTATTCTGTATTACAAAAAAGGCTGCAGTTGTTCTTTCAACAAACAGTGCATGCATGTCTTGAAAGCATTAAAATTTCCAAGAGACAGAGAACAGAGCACAAATACAGGTATTTCAGGATTGCAGTAAATAGTCTTCACATTTTTGTAGACTCTGTACATTAAAAGGTTAAAACCAAATTGTCAGCTTTCCCAGAATATCTCAGTTGCTGATCTAATATTGGCAGTGCCTCATTTTTCTTTATTTGTTTAACCTGCCCAGTCATTTTTGTGTGGAGGACCTATGCTTTTATAATACAAACAAGTAAATATAAATCAGGTGCAGTTGAAAACTTTCCATTGAAAACAATCTAGTGACACAAGATTCACAGACCAGAAGTTATATCTGATTTTAAAGCTCCTAAATATATAAAAAAATAATTTTGCAGTTAAAACCACAGCTGAGTTGGGCACGCTAACAGAGAAAGGATGAGTAACATCTCTATTAAATGACTGAGCTTTAAATCTGTGCAGAGGGAAAGGCGATACATATACCCATGAG